AAAAATCTTCATTACTCCGGTCTTGCCGTTTTGCATGGAACATAGAAGAGAGTGCCCAACTGTTGCTCAGTCGCTCTACTGTAGCTAGGAAATTATTTTATGAAGTTAAAGAAACACGACACTGGCAAGCAAGGGGAACGCGGTTGAGACTGGAGGGGAGAAGGAGGGGAAACTTCTTCTTTTTCATCAACCGCTTCCATACGCTTACCATCATCCTTTTCCTCTGTTTCATTCATCTAAATTCATAGACGCTTATGGTGTGCAAGAACAAATCTCTGGACTAACACGGCCTTTAGTCAACAATATGATGGCTCGCATGAATGACGTCCTGTTGCCAACTTGTTAACTCGGGAAATATCTAAGTTCGGTTACTTCGTTTATCCCCTTCCAAATAATGCATATTAAGGACAAATTTGGCCAGTTGGTAAATTACTGTTGAACGGTACATATATATTTCTTTCTCAGCTCCAGAATCTCTTACAGCCTACTGCCGTAGCATCTTAGATGTAGGCCGGTCCCAATTTCTGTGTCCCTACATGAGCCAAGACAAACCACCGGTTTATTGCCGCAAAGAGTGGGACTACATAGAGGTTCGTCGCTTGGCTGTTTTGTCAGAGGAAGAAATTAAAGAGTTTGAAAACAAAATCTCCCGGAACTATCTGATCAAGGGCATGGGAATTCAAGAATGTCCAAAATGCAACTCTATGGTGCAACGAAGCGATAAAAAGCTGGTACGAGTGGTTTGCCTTGTTTGCAGCAAGGATAAAAGCGAAGCTTTCGAGTTTTGCTGGCATTGTCTTCACAAATGGAATAATAACAGCATGACCGAGTGTGGTGCGTAGTTTTTCTTGTAAATATGATTCATCCCATGAAAATTTATCAAAGTTAACAAGTCACACGCTTAGCTGGCTTTTTTTTTGCCATTGGTCTAGGTTGTAAATGCAAGCTCACGTGAGACATCGCAACTTCATTCCAGTTGGCATTTGTTAGTATTTTCGAGTAGTTTGGTGGCGGTCATTTATCAGCAGTTCGTCACGGTAGTTTTCAAGCGTTCTCCCACCCTATCCCTCCCTCTTTTCCCCTTTGTTTGATCTGGTCAGTTTTGACGGGGGCTTGGAAGGGTGACGCGGGAATTCACCATCCATGAGAATGATACTCCGGCTACTTGAGGACTTGTTTGCAAAAGTGGGAGGTGCTGCAGTCGGTGACTTGTAGAGAAAAATTTATCTCAACGCTTTCAATAACTTCTCTATTATGATTTTCACACTCTCAAATAATTCGCTTGCATCTTAGGAAATGAAGACTGCTGGGGCGAGGATAAACGTCTCAAGATCCTTCGGAATTGTCCCAGGAAGACTATCGTTGGAGTGGTGGGATCCCCCTCCGTTCGGGCCTGTGTGTCGTGTGGCATGATGATTGAGCATGTGCGGAATTGTAAGCACATGCACTGTCGCTGCGGTCAAGATTTCTGCTTCATCTGCTTGGAGCCTAAAGGACCCAGTGGTTGGAAATGTGGAGGTTCCAATGAAGAATGCACAGTAGCACCAGTGCAAACAACGATCCCTGGAGATAATTAAAGCCTGAACATTTTTGGTGCACTAAAAAGTGAGGCACAGCGAGTTATAAAGTAATGCTCGTTTAAAAATAGCTTAGAGGAGCTACATTGTGTATATATCGACGTTTTGAGTATCATTTAGCGACATAGATAATTGTATTTAGGTGGCAAGAAACTTAGAATAACAGTCTGTTGGGTAGACAATGAGTTTGCCTTCAGTCGTTGATCGATGGAACTACAACATAGAAATTAAGTCAAGTGTTGAAGATTTGATTCATGATAACTGTGGCTGTACCAACTAAAGCTACTCAAATCTTAGTAATCGAGTTAGCTACTTTTTAGGGCTTTTATTCAGTAGGTTTAACGACTTTTCTGTTCAATTGTAACATTTCTGTATTTTAAACAGTGCCTTACTTTGAAGGGTAATTTTAAAGAAGAGTACTATATTAACCGGAGGTTGTTAATAAATGTCATTCTGATACAATGAGTATATGAAGTTCATATATTTTGAACTGCGGTTGTAGATACGTATGATGCACGATCCTCGCAGTAGAGAGCGCTATTTATGCAATAGCGAAAATCAGACCCAACCACCGGGAACGAAATGATTCTAAAGTGCTTACAGTGAGTAAAAGAGGGCCCCACTCAACTGATAATTGCTTTACATTCTTAAGTATTGCAAACTAATAGACTAATAGTCAAACAGAGTCTTAACAGTCTCTTGCTTTTCCCGACCCTACTTGGAATTCAAGCCACGAAAGTCGCTTTTTTACTTTGGCTACGTACTGCTTGCATCCATTGGACTCTGCAACTCAACAGGAAATCGAGAGGCAGTTGAACTCATCTAAGAAATTTGTCAGAAGGCATTTCAATGGAGTGTCGAAAAAGGAAAATCGAAGCAATCGCATCAACCAATCAGCCAAAGGGAACTAACCTAAGAGCCAATGAGCTCTCAAAGTAGAATAGGGCTACTTTACAATCTGATTGGTTCAGGGGTTGACTAATGAAAGGAGAAGAGATAGGGACTATTAATTTTTAGATTACTTTAGACTGTTAATTGAAATGATGAAGTAAAGTATATCCCATAATGGAGTTCAAGGTTGTAGAAATTGACTTTAGTTTTCAAAGGAATCCAATAGACAAATAATTTAGTGCTAAGCATGAAGCAAATCTTTAATAAAGTAGGTGGATATTTTAACATTATACTTAGTTAATATATGTGAAATCGACTCTGTTTAAGCTACGAAAATAAATATCAAAGCAGTGAATGGAGGGTTCTTTTATTTCGTTGATTGAACGAAAATCTTTTAACTTTCTGGGTAGCTGATGGCTGGAGTCTTGGAGGTAATGTCTTGTTTTTGTCATCTCTTTTCTTACTCTATCACTCGAAGGAGTGATCAATAGGTAACTTCTCCACACAATCTCAATACAATATCCTGAAAACAGATGATAAAGATCGCCACACTGATCAGCTGAATGGTTGGAATCTTGATGAAGCACCAAATACTATGAGCTGTTTAACAATGACATGTATAGGAGCTAAGAAGGCT